AGCAATTTTGCTTCTTTTGAGATAGCAACTCTTTGCTTCTTAAGATAGGCAAACTAGTGATGTTCAAGATAGCAAGCTCTTTCTTCTCTTTTGAGAAGTGCCATTATTTTTGCTTTCTTTGCAAAAACGCAAGCTAACAAAATGTTACATTGTTTTACAACATGGAACCTAATAATTTGAGATGTTCAAGAAGTAAGTTTTTTCTTCTCTTTTGAGAAGTGGAATTTTTTGCTTTCTTCTTAAATTGTACGAGCTAGCATCTTTTATCTCTGCCTTTATCATTGTCAAAAAGAAGGGAAGACCCTTTATATCAATTTTCAAATTTTGACAAAGGTAAGTATCAGTCTTATTTGTATATCATTATATTTTCAAATTAAAATATACATAATTTCAAAACCTTACATTTCATTTTTCATGTACGATACCAAAAAATCAATCATCATTATGAGCATATCATACATGATACTAAAAACATTAATTTTTTTAAGTATTTATCAACATTTTGATCATGATACCAAATATTTATCATTTAGAGCATTCATGATACATCATAAGCAATACATCACATACATCATTATAAAAAGTATAAGTATTGCATACATTTAAATCATCACATGAAGAATATCAAGAAGAATCATAGTATGAAGAATCTTGATCCATAGAAAAATGTCATGTATCGAATATCGAGAAATCAAGATGATGATATAGATGAAGACATTCCTATAGCAAAAAGATGTCACGTAAATGATCTCGATTCATGTATAATATCTCTCAATTCTTTATAAATCATAAAAATTATAATTCAAAAAAATCATGATTCATTTCGATAAATTTCAATAAGAAGATACAAGAACACAAAGTAGGAGATCTTGATTCATAAATGATTTCAAGTTATAACTCATGAGAAATCAAGATCATGATTTCGATAAAAATCATTAAATTCAAATCATCATAATCATCAAAATCTCAACATTACTTTCAAGAGATTCAAAATGACATAAATAATTTTATTGGTCTCTTAGTGAAAAATCGATAAGATAGAGAAAAAAAAATTTCAAGAAAAATGATTTCCTCCTTTTGTTTCAACTCATTGATTGATTTCATACATGCTTGTTCTTTTCTTTTATGCCAAATCCATGCATCATTCATTAACGCCGAAAAGGATCTCTCAAAAGATCGCAAATCACAAAAATAATCATGCATAATTTCGAAAATCTCATGCATAAAATAAAATCATCAATCATGATATCAAAACATCATTATGCGTCATTAAATCATCAAACATGATTTCATAATTTTAATCAAAATCATTTTATTTGTTTATTATAAAACATGCATTTTTCATGATTATTTTTAAAATCACTAGCACGATAAACATGATTCCTAATTTTTTGTATTTTTATAACATTATTAAACATGTAATTTTTAAGGAAAAATATTTTCTAAAAAAAGAAAATCCATCATGAAAAGCATTATGTAATTTCAAAGTAAATTAGGGGGATTTCGATTACCTCATCGTTAAAAGCGGTTAAGGCATAGTTTGTCATCTCGCCTTTGTTGATTTTCTCCTCGTCTTCGGAGGAGCTCGATTCATCCCACTTTTTATTCTTTTTCTTGCATTCAAAGCAAGTAGTTGCGTTCTTTTTGTTCTTTAATTTTTATTTTATAAACTTTTTAGATTTCATTTGTAGTTCAAGTTCACCATCACTTGCTTATACTCTGAGTGGTCTTCAAATGTTTTATGTCCCAAATCCTTCTTGTTCTTTGGAAGGTGATTTTGTTCATCACGTTCATCATGTGTATTGTGCACCATTTCATATGTCATCAATGTACCGATAAGTTCTTCAAGTAGAAAAATATTTAAATCTTTTGTTTCTTGTAAAGCTATTACTTTTGAATCCCAAGTTTTAGAGAGTGATCTTAAGATCTTGTTAACGAGTTCAAAGTTTGAAAAACTTTTACCAAGTGCTTTCAGACTATTGACGACATCCGTAAAACAGGTGTACATATCTCCAATAGTCTCTCTTGGTTCCATACAAAATATCTCAAAATCGTGCATCAAAAAATTTACTTTAGAATCTTTTACACTACTTGTGCCTTAATGTGTGATTTCAAGAGTGCACTAAATATTGAAAGCTGATTCGCACAAAGAAACCCGATTAAATTTGTTTTTGTCTAAGACACAAAATAGAGCATTCATAGCTCTAGCATTTAAAGAAAACATCTTCTTCTCCAAATCATTCCAATCTTTCATTGGAAGAGAAGACCTTTTAAAACCAGATTCAACAATGTGCCATAAATTCAAATCCAATGAAAGAAAGAAAACTCTCATTCGAGTTTTCCAATAAGTGTAGTCTGTCCCATTAAAAAAGGGAGGACGAATGAGAGATTAACCCTCTTGGTTGCCGAAAAGAGTCATTTCAATTTGGGTGTTAAACCAAATATGAAAAACGAGGCTCTGATACCAATTGTTAGGATCAGGAGCACTAAGAGGGGGGGAGGGGTGAATTAGTGCAGCGGATAAAATCACATCATTTTCAAAACTTTTATACGATAAAACCGTTTCCGACGTAAAACCATTTTTGGAAACTTAACTTGAAAGCGAGTTCATAAAAGTATTGAAGGCAGTAAGCTATTAAAGAGGTTTGCAGTAAGGTAATAGCAAGAATAAATGCAAACTCGAGAAGATGGCTATTTATAGTGGTTCGGTCAATCATGACCTACATCCACTCCTCTGATTTCTCTCCCGTTGAGGCCACTGGCATCCACTAGAGGCCTTCCTTCAATAGGCGAAGGCCAACCACCCTTTTACAACTCAATTCTCCTTTTACCAGGTTTAGGAGATAATCCTTACACCCCACTCACTCCTCTCTCAAACTATTCTAACACTTAGAACTATGAGAGGAGCTCACACAAGATTGCAGCAACGTTTCTATACTTTTTTACTTTCAATACTTGTGTGCTTTAACCAGGGATGAGAGGGGTATTTATAAGCTTCAAGTTGATTCAAATTTGGAGCCTAAAAACATCTCATCCTAGGTTCTCCGGGCATGGGTGGTACCACCGCCCAGTGTTAGTTTGGCTGATACTGTCCTAGGCAGTACCATCGCTTGGGAGGCTGTGCTAGGTAGTACCATCGCCCAGACTGACGGTACCACCGCTTAACATAGTCTCGAAGACTGTGCCATGACAGTGAGTCTTCTTGGGTTACTGTTTGGGCTTATTATTGGGCCCAACACAGTTCTTACATAGGCCTAGCTGGCTCCTAATTGGGTTGGCCCAAATCCAAGCTCAATTACGTATTAACTATGAAATCCTAAGACATTTTCTAAGCTAAACTAAGTCCGTAAGTCTATTCTTCCGGTGAGCTTCCGGCGAACCTTCGACGAACTCTCGGCAATGTTCTGGCAGACTCCCGGCAAGCTCTTGGACTTGCGATGATCCACTTGGTGAGTTCCGACGAGCTTCTCTCGCAAGCTCCGCGACTTCTCGGCTGGTTCCCGCAGAACTTCCGACGAATGTTCGTACTTCCGACGAACTCTCGAACTCCCAACGTGATCTCGATCTTGACTTCAGGACTTCATTTTGCTTCATGTCTTGCTATCGTAGTTAATCCTGCACATGTAAAACAAACTTCAATCTAGACAATTAATCCTAAGAATCTAATCAAGTTGTCCGGCATGTCATTGGTCCCTCGACGCTTCGTCCGATTTTTCGGTACATCGTCCGATTCTTTGGCGCATCGTCCGATTCTTCGGTGCATCGTCCTCTCTTGCAGGCTCAATCGGCCAGTTGACTCCGCAACTCCGATATCCTTGGTGCAATACCCACTCTTCTTGGCCCGATGCCCGAATCCACAGCCCGAAGCCTTCTATCGATACGTCGACCGATCCACTGGCCTAACATCCAATCTTCTAACATGTTCCTTCGGCCCAACATGATTTTTCTGCTTTAATTGTCTCATCCTGATCGAAGCATCCTACGTCACTCAAAATGCAGATTAAAACATAAACACATATCGATTGATTTCATCATCAAAATCCGAGATTCAACAAATATATAGTTGGAGGAGATTATTGAAAAATCTAAAATTCTAATAGTTGTTTTTACACCTAGTTATTCTCAAAAGCAATGGAGGCAAATAGCATGATATTCAATCTCCATATGAGATCGAGTAATAGTTTCTTATTTCTTTGGACTCTAACTAATTGGGTTGGCTCCAAGAAAAATTGATAGGAATTGAAGCACCATCACACCATTATGATGGTCCCAAGGGAATATGGAAAGCATTAGATTACCAAATCAGAGCTATATGGGCCTAAATGCAAATGGAGGGCCCATCCTATATTTTTTTTTAGTTAAATTATAGTATGATTTAGGCATAAGATATATTTATATTGGACTTTGGGCTTGATATAGGTTATCAAAAGAGATGTTATGAGTACATCCTAAAATACACATGATAAGGGATTTTAGAGTAAACATGTCTCCATTGTATTAAATCTCTAACCCCTCTATTTAGAATGGGGGATATATGACATGGTGAATTTTTGTCTTATATTTTCTTTTATAATACTTTGAACCAAAGGATAAGGGCTTATAGAGAAACTTGAGATATATATACCTCCATAGCATAAATTATAATATATGCACATTTAGCTTGAAACTTGTTTACGTTAGACAGCCTGCTTCATCATTTCTTGGCTCATAGTTTCAGTAGGCATCAAGTGTTCTACCTCAAAGTGTCCCGGCTAATTTACTTCAATAGGTTTTCTCTGTTCTAAGTATCTAAGGTTAGTGCATGGATCTCGCTACAAGGCCACTTTTTCTCCCCTTTAATACATTGATTTACTTGCATGCTTGAAATCTAATTTCTTATTAGATTGAAAAGACATATAGATATATAGAAGGGAAACATTGATTTACTTGCATCTTTATTACATATTTGAAATCTGTCCAAAATCCAAGGAACTCTTAAACTAATACATAAAAAAAACTAATTATGAAGTTGCTGCCAAACTGCGAAACATAAGAACCTCCTATATCTTAGACAAGACCCTTGAGTTGATGCAAGGGCCCATCAAAGCAATAGTAGAAGATCTTCTCCTTGAGATACTCCATGTCTTAGAAGACCATCGTCGATTGATGTTCATTGTCAGCATTCTTGAATTTTGTGGTATAGTGCCGTGTTTTCTCTCAGATCGATTGCCGGACTTTATCAACAAGTCATCATCAGTATACTTCTTCCTTGGATGACTCCATCTCTCCTTCATTGGTTTAAGTAAAGTTTCTTCTCTCGACGAAAATGTTCTCCGAGAATCCATCACAAACGGGTTGTAGAAAGCATCGCTGATACTTTGGACTAATGCAGTAGGTGAGTCAAATGCATTAGTTGTATTGAAGAGCATTCGGAATGACTTGAAAGTAGCTAAATGTAGCTCCTTCCATTCGTTAGGAACACCAGCGTACGTATCATCCATATAAATCTCAAGGAACTCTCTTTCCTTTCTCTCAATTATTTTGCTAATGTGCTCAATTGAGTCTTCGTTAGTAGCCCCTTGGTTCTCTTTGACATACAGGAGCACCATATTGAACTTACCACCACGTATTTCTTTCTGGAAGAGATTATTACGTATAAGTAAACAACATATATAAATGGATAGAAATGAAATATAGAGAGATATATAAAGCGAATGTTGCAAACCTGGTAACTGTGGATGTCATTCAACAAGCGCGAGGTGATCATTGTCAACTTGGTAATGGTACTATGCCGAGAGGTTAGTATGTGCTTTGGAACTTGGGGAATCACCAAGAAGCATGCCGGAAGAGTCATGACTTGTATGGCTACAGAGATCGCTGCAACCTCAAGATACTCGGTGACCGTAGGTGC